AAAATGATGAAAATTGGGAAATTTAATTCCGAAAAGAAGCTCTGTAATTCGAAAAGTCTAAGGGTGTTTTGTCCATGATAAAATGATAGTGAAATATTGAAGATAGAGTAAAGAGTCTGGATGTTGATTGTTCATCTAATTATGAAGAAGATTGGGCGTCTGCCATTTCTCATCTTCTTAATTACGCCTGTGATTGGAGCAACAAAAATGTATAAGAATTTTACAAAATGTTTGCATGATTCCATACAGTTTTGGGAACTTATGACTAGGAATTCACAGGATAGTGATTTCAACAATTCCAACTAAACCATTTCGTTGAGAATCCGTCAATCAGGAATTAAAATTTCATTGGTATAGTGTTTAAACGACTTTTGGAACGGGACTTGATGTCTTGATTAGCTCCTGCCATTCGATTTTTACCAACGATTTGGGCATGAGAAGGGTCGCCGCGAAATTCGTACCAAAAATTGTTCAATTTCGATCATAACAGCATCGCGACGATCTAAACTTGCTCTAGAGAGTCATAACTGGTGACAAATCATGGGTTTATGGTTATGACGTGGAAGACAAAGTTCAATCATCCCAATAGAAACTGCCGCACGAGCCAAGACCGAAAAAAGCGTGCCAAGTTAGGTTAAATGTGAAGGTTTTGCTTACAGTTTTCTTCGACTGCAGGGGTGTGGTGCATCATGAGTTCTTACCACAGGGTAGAACGGTCAATAAAGAATATTACCTGCAAGTTATGCGTAATTTGCGCGAAGCAATCCGTCAGAAACGCCCGGATCTGTGGAAGAACATAAATTAGCTTTTGCACCTTGATAACAACTCTGCTCATACACCGTTGCTTTTGCGCGAATTTTTGACTAAAAACAACACACTAATAATGCCGCAGCCACCGTGTTCCCAGGATCTGGACCCCTGTGACTTTTTCTTGTCCCTGAAGCTGAAGGGGCCTATGAAAATACGACGCTACGCTACGATTGAGGAGATAAAGACGGTATCGAAGGAGAAGCTGAACAAGATCACAAAAAATGATTTTTTGAAGTGCTTCGAAGATTGGAAATAACGTTGTCACAAGTATATAATATCTGGTGGGGATTATTTTGAAGGGGTCAAAATAGATATTCATCATCATCATCATAAGGTCGTCAGTCCTAAGACTGATTGGACATGTACCTCCACTCTTTCCTATCCTGAGCTAAACTTCGCATTTCCCTAAAACTAGAACAACCCACATCCTTAACTATTTGCGAAGAGTAATCTAATCTAGGTCTACCTCTACCCCTCCTAACTCCTGTTTCTGTCTCTAATAAGTCTCTGACTAGAACTTCATGCCTGGGAAAGTGTCCTACCAACCTATCTCGCCTATTTTTTATTGACTTCCATAGAGTCCTCTGTTCTCCTATTCTTTCCAATACCTCTTCATTTCTAACCTTTTCTACCCACGATATCCTCATCATCCGCCTATAACACCACATTTCGAACGCTTCTAACCTTTTCTTTTCCGCCGCTCCCACTGTCCATGTTTCGCACCCGTACAACGCCGTGCTCCAAACATACACCTTTAACAACCTTTTTCGAATTTCTAAATTAACCGTTCGCGAGCATAGAAGTGACTTCTTTTTATTAACGGCGACACGATCCTGCGCTATCCTCTGCTTTATATCCCTACTACTCCTTCCATCCTAACTTATCTGACTTCCTACGTATCTAAAATCAGCCACTTCATTTTTTCGTCTCCTATCTTTATATTCGCTCTTTCCCTACTTTTTCTTCCCTGGCATATCAGTATTTTAGTTTTACTTTTATTTATTTTCGTACAGTACTGATCTGTCAGTACCGCTTCCATTTTATTAAAGCTATCTCTAGGTCCTCCCTGCTAGATGCTAATACTGCTATATCATGAATTAATAAATAATTTTTGAAAAAACACAACATTCGCGTTACTTTTTCAATAGACCTCGTATGTAAAACTGGCTACCCCATTGTATCCACTGCGGCGCTATAATCTACTCTTCATTAAATAAGTATATAATCACAAAATCGATATTGAGGTTTAAATCTTTTCTTTTTTTCTAGTTTCTTAATATTTAGGCATAAAAAATATCGAATCGTTAATGGTTACACCTGTTTTAAACGTGACGCAATTTGCAATGTTTTGCAAAAAGTAAATCCTATAAATCAGTTGTACACTGCATTAATAATAATTAAAAATAATATTCGTTTACCGGACCTTGTACAAGTCAATAAAATCTCAGTCGGCTTCATGTTCAGATGATGAAACAACATCTTAACGATTCTTTCCGAGAGCTATAAATTTTTATTGCTTGTTACCACATTGGTAGACTCCTTTTTCCATTTTAACTCGCAGATAATATCATTAAGTGTTTGTTGATCTATTTTAGCATTGTCAATTGCAATAAATTTTAAGTGTTTAAATACCTCAGAGCAGTTTCTAATTCTGACCAAATAAAAAAAAATGGGTTCAAGTTTTCTTCAATGATAGTAAAAGTGAAGTTCTATTGGTCATTCTTCCCCTAATTTTTTATTCAGTTGTTTTTTTAATCAAAGCAATATTAGGGTTAAAAGTACTTTCTAATTCCAGGTTAAAATAATTAAAAACTACGTCGTAACAAATATACTTATGTAAGTGGTGTTTAATTATTTACTTATTTTATTTATTATTTTAATCTTGATCACAGAGCATGTACCACGTAACCAAAAATTCATCAGCATTACATTTTTAACTAAATAAAACTAGACTTGAGAAAGACCAATAACCTGGGCGAAATGTCGGTTGTGGTTCTTTAATTAAAATACTTTTAACCACAATATTGCTTTGATTAAATAAAAAAAGAAAAAATAAATTTTACTACACTCTCCTAGGAGTTAGCTTCAAATATTACAATACCAGCAAGATAACCTAATCAGACAAAAAAGACACAGCAGCCATATGCCAACCTAACCTAACCTAATCGGGCAAAAAGACATAGCAGCCATATGCCAATCTAACCTAACCTAATCGGGCAAAAAAGACATAGCAGCCATATGCTACGCCGACTATCATACATAAGAACGGATCATTTTATGTGTCGTCTTTTCCTATGATAAATGAATCAATCAATGACATACCGAGTTCTCACTTTCATAAATAATCACATTCAGTATGAACTAATTTTAGTTATTATTAATACAGAACCTGTAGATTTTAAATACAACTTGTAATAGTTTACCCGCCTTTAGCCGTTTATTTAAGTATTAGCGCAATTATTTTGTATTGCGGCTCCCACACAGTAGTTCATTTTATTTGTTTTTCGCGCAAATGTAATAATGTTGTTACAACTTAAAGAGTAAACATACATAAATCGACATGTAATCTTTATTTTGCAGGTGTAATTTAATAATGGTGTCCTGACCAGCACTGACATCATCATCATCATCTATCATTAAGGTTAAACATGCTGTTAAACAACAACATTGATGAATCTCCAAACGAAAAACGTAAGTTTTGTTTTGCCGTTTAACAATTTCTTCAAATTAAGCGCAAATTATTTTTTTTATTTTTTTGTGACATATTTGCGTCAGTAAATATTAAAGGAGTTTTCCAAAAAAAATTCTAAAAATATTTCCCCTTTTCTTGCATCAATGTTTTGGCATTTTTTAAGTCATTTTGGTTAATACGTTTGACATTTGGGATAGACATTCCTTAGCTGTAGAAATTTCTCCGTTTTCTACTTCGAGTGGTAGAAAATGTGGAATTTATATTTTTTAAGCTATACAAATTTTCGTAAAATTAAACTAAATATCCAGTAAAATGAGTAACGGGTCAAAATTAAAAAGTATTTTGGAAAATACACTAAAAAGCTTCACCAGTGAAAGAGAAATTTCGCAAACATTTTGTTATAATAATCGAAAAAATAGTAGCGGTAGAGCGGAAAATTTTGCCAAAAGAAAAGCTTCTAATGATAAAAAAACTTTTGCTGGTAAAATCGACGAAGGAAATAATGAAATTAATTACGCGGAGTTGTTACAACCTTACCAAGAAGAGATTTCAGAAGCTTTAGAAGTCATAATTATGAAAGCTTATAAAGGAAAAGATTTTAGTGAAAATGATAAGGTTAAGTCCCCTATAAACAACGACATTAAGCAATCCGAAAATAAAGTCTTAAAAGAATCGGATTATTGCAATTGTCATTCGTGTACAGAAAGGAGAAATTCAAACAACAAATCAAACCGAAAAAGCGCTGATAAGAATTCCATCCAATCAACGCATGATTACTACAAATCTTCCACAAGAAGGCAATCGAATGCAAGTAAAAATTCAATAGACTCCAGTCTCAATAAGTATGTATTGAATGGTTTTAACTCGAAACGCTTCGATTCTTTGAATAACTGCAATCCAAAATATCGGGAATCGTCAATGCCTTTAGATAACCGTAAAAACAGCGTGGAAAGAAGTAAAACTCTCACAATCAATAACTCTTGTCCTGTGTGCACATTTATAAAAAGTTCAGATAAACAAGACCGACCATGTAATGCCCAAAAGAAAAATCGGAAAAGAAACGTTTGTAGCATAATTAAAGAAGAAGCTATTCCCAAATGCGTTTGTCAAACGAAGAGCACTCTCGAAGACGATGAAACCAAACACAAATTCTGCGAGCATATGTCTCTTATTGGAGCTAAAAGATGTGACGTATATAACAAACTATTAAAACAAATAGGAAGTGCTGTCGATTTAGACAATACACCCGTTAAAAATTGTGCTGTTATCCAGCAGGTTGTAAATGCCATCACGGAATTGCACCAGTTGGAAAGAGAAGAGAACATGTGGTGCAAGTGGATTAACACTTTGTTACATAGAAGGGATCCCAAATGTATTTCTCTTGGTAGCAATTAATGTAATGCTGGTGTGAATGTTTTGTGATGGTTTTTGAGCAACAGTTCCCGTAAAGCAGATAATATTGTTCTTGATTCTTCTATGGAATAAAGCTGATTAAATCCGATCAAAGTGTTGCTTCATTTATGTTTATCTGATAATATATTTTAAGTCAACGTCCATACTAAATGTCTTTATGACAAAAGATGTGTCATTGACTATTAGGAGGTTATCAATTCCAAACTTTGATTGTCAGTGTGAATACTTTTTCTTTGGTCATCATGCCAAAAATTTGTTGTATGAACTATACCACTGCAGTAACGTATTTTGTTGATAATTGCGTGGAATATCAGAGTGTTAAATGCGTAGTTAATTATTTCAGTCAATTATGGAACCACATGAAAGAAGGAAATGTAAAAGGAAGAAGGAAAATGCAGGACCTCTAGAAAGTGAGGCGAAATCAAAATCAAGAAAAAAACACAAATGTTGTCGTAAAAAAGAGCGTCCAGTAACTTGGTGCGATTCTTCCTCTTCTTCGTCTTCTTCATCTTCTTCTACTGAAGAGGTAATTAGTAGAAGAAAAAAATCGGAATGTTGTAAACCCTGTTGCTGCTGTTACGATAAACAGGGCGTAGTCGACTATACCCAAATATTGCAACCATATAAAAAGGATATTCAAGAATGTCTAAAAGAGTTGCTCGAAAAAATTCATAGGGTAGCTTGTGAATATTCCTCTAGCACTTGTTCAATCGAAACCACTTGTTCATCTTCATCTACGCCTACGCCACCGTCAACTCTTGCGTCAACTCCTGCGTCAACTCCTGCGTCAACTCCTGCGTCAACTCCTGTGACTAACGTTCAAAAGGAGGAAACTCCCGAGAAAACAACAATTTCACAAAACCTACCAAGCGATAATGATTTTATTGAAATCTACCAAAAGATTTCAATCGAAGTAATACAGCCATCTGTAACAAATATATCGAGTGAAGATTCTAGTTTAAATTCCGGATCGGGCGAATCCTCCGGCGAACCTACAATAGTTGGATCATCATCAATAAATCACGTCCTAACTGTTCCAAGGAAACGAAAACGAACATCTAGCGATTTTGCCCGTCGTTCTGATTCGTCCCAATTAAAAAATAAACGAAAGCGTACCTCAAAACAAAGCACACGTTCGTCTAAATCGATTGTTCGGTCTCGAATAACCTCCGTTGAACAAAAACGAAAGTCTAATGATGATGAATCTCAGACCAATTCTACAAAATCTGGTAGTAAGAACCCAGTAGAAAACAAGCATTCTTTCCAATCGATAAATCATTCTATAGAAAATAACAGGAAATATAGTGAAAAAGGTAGACGTACTATAGAATCAGCTGATCAAGATCCACCTGATTCACCTAAACAGTTTACTGAACTCGATAATTACCAATCTCCATACCCTATTTATGTACAAAACAGGTGCACCAACACTGATAATAATGAAACTGAAAGTGTACCAATAAAATACAGATACATGTCTCATCAAGAAATTCAAACTGTAGACCTCAATGAACATAGCAAAGATACCGAAAATGTTGAACGTAGGTCCGTGTCAAATCAAAAAATACAAACTCCTAATTCGTGGAAGGATAATAAAAGTCCTGACAATGTTTCCATAAAGAGCAAATGCAAATCGTCCTATAAGAAAACGCAAACCGAAAAAGTATCATTGAAAAGTAAAGGTACAAACTCTACTCTTTTAAATAAAGTTGTTCCATTAGATGTCGTACATGAGGAGCAAAAGCAAGTCCACGAAGAGATTCCGCAGTGGTGCGATCGCAATAATTCAAAAACCACTGAATGTCAAAATTTTGGTCAAATGTTTCCTGAATCTGAAACCAGTAAAAGCAATGGTATGAAAACTTCAACCAAAATGTTTAATCCAGTAATTGATTCTTCCCACGATCCTGACAAAAAAGATGATCAAGAAGAGTTTTTAATGAATTATGATCCTGAAAACAATTCCGCTCTAGTGAACTATGGAAACGCGGTATCTGGTGCGAACGAAACTAAAAGAATTTCTTATTTACAAAATGATAATGATAAAAGAGGTGAGCATACTAGTAATTAGATCCATTATCTTCAAGATTTCTTCAGTATGTTGGAAGGTACATGTAAACATAGTGTGAATTTAAACTTTCTTTCATGCAGTCCCCTTATGATTCTCATGTTTCTTTTAAAGGCAAGAAAAATATTTCTCACTGGAAAGCAAAGAAAGATGACGATAAAAATCCCGATCATATTTCATGGTATGAGGTGGAAGGTAGTGATCTGTACCATCATAATGTCGAAAAACAGCATCGTTATTGCAATTACAACGACGCTTCTATAGTTACTGGGACCACTCCTTGCTCTGTATCTGATACAATCGTTCACGAAGGTCCCTTTGATTTACCTAAAACTCCAAAACAGCATCATTCTCGTTATACTTCTGAACGTAGAAATCGGCATGATTTTGACGATTCATACAGAGAAAAACATTCAAATGATATACATGGAAGACATACAAAAAATCAGGATCATTGTAGAAATCCCAATGCGAGAACCTCAATTGAGAACAGTAGGGGCAGTGATTCAGATTGTGCATGCAAATACCAAACCCCTGCTTGTTGTTCTTCTTGTCCCGCTTGTGATGATGATTCTCGTGATACAATTTCCATAAGAAGTGAGCACAGGCGTATCACTCATAGAAGTCACACTCCTCAGTTACCTGCTACAACGGCAGCTCCACCCAAAGTAATTCAGAGACGTTCCACCACCATACGTCGTCGTCACGATGGATCTGGTAAAGCGTCTTCTCTTGGCGATAGAATAGGCACTGATTATAGAATTGAAAGTCCTGGTCAAAAGGGTCACACCGCTAAAATTAGTCATGAGGTTTATCACCAATATAGTAAACCTTCTCCGAAAGGGAGTATGGGGAATGACGGTAGCCTTTCTGCCACTACTGTTGAAAGGTTAGTTGTTGAAAAAGATAACGAACGTCATGAAACTATTTTCCACAATCCTAACGATCTGAAATCCATTCGACATTCATTTAAAGACGAAGAAAAGAAATTGGAAATGGATGCCATGGAGCTTCTGAATAAATTAAAGAAAAGGCATCTAGTTGATAATTTATCTAATCGTCATTCTCACAGTAATACACCAAGTGCACGACATAGTAACGACTCGTATTATCAGTCTGGGCCCAAAAGTCGTGAATACAAGAAATACGAAGATCTCAGTAACAGTAGCGGTTTCTTCACGTCTAAACGCGAGGAGCCTTACTTCGATCATTACGATGGGGAAAATTATACACATTCAAGACGTGGTCAGAATTATTTTGATGATAATGATTCACTCACAAGCCGCAGTACACCCAAGCATTACTCTCACGATCATTATGATGATAAAAGTTATGATGACAGAACGTCTTCTAGAAGTAATCGTTCTGATGGTCATTCTGGTAGTGGAAGACGCAAGAGCCATAATAAAAATGGACAAAATTCTTATAGTCACAGTTACCAGAAACATGATGATGCTCATAATAATTCCCGTGATCCTAGTGAGTTGGAATATAGAAATCATCATGGTGATGCAGCTTCTGTTGCAAGTCGTCGGTCACGCAAACATAACGATAATCACCATCGACATGGTAAACACGGTCACCATGATGATAAGCTTTCCGTCACTAGCGAACACATGCACTCAACCCATAAGAGACGCAAGCCAAGAAGAAAACGCAAATGTTGTTGCACAAAATGCACCAAGGAGGCCACAAAGCCGACATGTAACAATGAAAATCTCGAAGAGGTGACAATAACACTAAAGAAGTGTTGCTGCGGAAATGTGGATGGTGATCATTATAAACTAATAACTCATGGCTTAGATACAAAACAGGAAAGCAAATGTTCCGGCGATGAAGCGAGAATGCAATTCTTTCAAAAGTTGGCATCGGTGGGAGCGAAACGTTGTCAAATTTACAACCGTCTCCTGACTCAAATGGCACAATTGCAAGCTGCACAAGTAAGAATTTTGGAATCGCTCAGTTCCAGTTGTGAATCCGGGAATCAGAACATGCTACACCAAGCAAAGTCCGCTATTGAACTGTTGAACAATTTGGAACAGATGAAGAATGGACAATGCAGTTGTCGCGCAAGTTTAAATATGAATAATACCCTGCGTTGTCACGTTTACACGAAACTTTTAAACATCGTAGAAAGTTTGGCGAGACCAAGAACTAATTGTTGTCAGCAACCGTGCAACAGGTCCAGTTATTCGCACTGCATCCTTGACGAAATGAAGAAAACACTGAATGAACTGATCCAGTTGGATAGCGAGGACAATTGCAAGTGTGAAACGTCATTCTCGTGTGATGGCGGAAATGCTTTCCCACAATGTCTGCCGATTTGCCCACAGGAGCACTACGTTTGTTGTCCATGTATAGATACATCGTGGGGAAATGCCGTTGGAGAACTCAAGAGAACAATCGCGGAACTGGACAGGTTGGAAAGGACTGAAAATGAAATCCGAAATTCTTCGTGCCCGTGCTGCTGCAAGAAACGCAAGCCAATTGCATACGATTTAATATTAAAGAACTCTAAGTTCAATATTCAAAATTCTTCAGAAAAGGCTGCTTGTAACAACGGCTTTATACAAAACGGATGCAGCTGTTGTTACGAATACGAACAGCATATGACTGGCAAGAGGAGCAAAACTCTTCAAGACTATCTACGATCTGCCAGACCAGACTTCATAAACTCCGCTGACGAGAGAATGAAATATTTTCAGAGATTAGGAGAACTTAGGAGAGAACAGTTCGAGGGTTTTGCAGAATTGCTCAATTTATTGGGGAATTTGCAAACGAGCGCGAACATCAATCAGCGAGATGCAAGAGTCAAACCTTGTATACACCCTGAAGCTGTTGAAAATAAATACTTCGGACCATCGAACTTGAATTGTGGACAAAATGCTGTAGATGAAAAAGAAAGATGTATCAATAGAATAATGTTGAACTTATTTAACAAAACAATACAACGTTTGGCGTTGAAAGGTAAAACAAATATTGCGATGGATAAAAGTGTTTTACAATACACTTAAGCAAATATGTACATTGTTAATGTGAAGTTCTTTATTTTACATATACTAAATAATAAAAAGCAATAAAATGTGAAGTACACCATCGAATTAGGTCAGCAACCATTAATATTGTTTCATTTCTTTAAAATATTGCTTGACTTTATCGAGCGGTATGTCCTAGAGGTTCGCCGGTTCGATTCTGGGTCCGTCTGCGTTGGTCCAAATTTTTCGGTGGTTTCCGTGGATCACTTAGGCAAATGCTGGAGCAATAATATTCCACAGATAATCTTTCATTCTCTTCTGTCTTCATTTCGTCCGTCTCATCTCTCTCACACCCGAACCACCACCCACCCATTCCCACGATTCCTGAAAGAAGGTTGAAGAGGGCCTTCCGCCCTACTTTCTGGCGTAGTCCGGAGGGCTGGTGGGAATGAAACACCCAAAAGTTTTTTTTTGTTGACAGGGTCATTTAGAGTAACTGTGCGCGGTAGTAAATTCATTGTAAATGTTAAGTGTATCTTCTTCTTTCAGGTTTTTGGATTTACAATTCTTATTTTCAAGTAGCACTTCTCAGAAAAACAAAATATACTTCATTTACTTTCTCTAGCGATATTCCCCTTCCAATATATTGGATGCGTCCTTACAAAATCGTAGGTAGGGATAAAAAAGCTCATTATACTCTCGACTCTTGTTCATCAAACATACTTTTTCATACAGTACCTGCCAAAAGTTTTGTTCAATCATGAATAGTAGTGCGAGTCGAAAACAAGCGTTAAAGCCTTTAATATGTCTTCAAATATAAATAAACATCTCGTTGATATTTTCAGTAGTAAATGGTACCAATAACAACACATTTGAACAATGCAATTGTAGTGGATAAAATGGTCAATTTTTCCGTGCAGTACTGTACGGATTATACGCTCCTTGCCGGTTAAGAGTTTGGCCGAGAGTTGTCTCCTTTCTTTTCTGGCCTAGTGCTGTTCTTTTCTACTTTGCGCCGTTCAAACTGAAGGCCACATCGCTACAGAAACTAAACGACGTATACTATTATAATTTAGGTAATTGTGTACTGACTACATATATTTTAAAGTAGGGGGAGGGATTTTGCGGCCAGGTACAATTTGTAAGTTGTTCACGACACCCTGTGTATAGAAGGGTTTAACTGAAGCATAAAACACTATGCGTTGGACATCTGGACGTCAGGTGTCAAACGATATTAACGAGCATTCCCAAGCACCAAAACGACAACAATAACAGCAAGGCTATTAGAAGGAGCGCCATGTTATTGTATATATGTAGGTATTTCGATTACGGAAATAAAGCTCCGGACCGTAGTTCCGGTACGAAAATAAAAAAAGGAACAACGACTTTTCAACACAATCGCTTACTCTTTACAGAATGACTTGTAATCAATAATTTTAATTAAATACGAAGTGCTTCAACAAATATTAAAGGTGATAACTGAAGTCGCTTGTTTTCGACATTTAGGGAGTCAGATAACTCATATACTTAATGGAAGATGCGCTGGAGATACAAAATAAAGAATAGCACAGGGTTCCTAGGTCATTTTTAAACGTAGGATCGCGGATGGTTAATTTGAATCTTCCAGAAGGATGATAATTGGAACAAAAATTCAAGGAATAAATATTATGATGATAATAATGATAAAATTTTGTAATTTATTATTTCCTCATGAGTTTAAATTTCCAAAGATTTAATTATATAATGAAGACAATTAAAAGTTAACATAGTAAACTAAAGTTGGCCCAAATCTTCGAAGATCATCTACACTTTTAATTCTTGTATCTAATAAAAAAGAAATTTTAGAGAACTTAGTTCCCATTTTGTATTGCAAGTATCATGAATATTTCCCCAAAATGTTACAATACAAACAAATGCCCCTTCGGGTTATGTTGGTCGTTCACCCTACCCTCCTACCTTTAGGGGAGAATTCTAGATCACATTTTAAACGAATCGCCTCGGTTGTAGCAACCACATTACGTCATTAAAAAAAAAAAACAACGCTGATAATAATACAGGTGTAGGTGTTCAATTTCTCTGCACCTGCACGTGGCACCCCGACGCCCGTTCGCCGTCGTGTTCAAAGCTTCAACTTGACGCAAGCGTCCTTTCCAAGCAATCCTTATTTCCGTATAAAGCTAAAGCGGTCACAAGGAATTTACTTCAGCGCAGTCGGTAACTAGGAACAGTCGCCAGTTCAATCCATACTGTGGTGATAAAGTCGTTCGGATTCTAGTTGTATCTACAGTGAATTGGAGTTAAGTTAATTGTTCTGTGTTGCGTGATTTTGTGGCGACTTTTTGTATGAAACTGGTGGGTTTTTCGTCAAAAACAGTGATATAACACACAACATTAGTTAATTGAATTGTCCTGGTTCAATCAAATGCTTTAGATTGTCTCTTATTAACTTTTTCCAGTGGTAGATTAATTGGGAAATATACATATACGTAAAGAATAATAATTAATAGATACATGCTACAAACAACAATCGATTATTTACAAATTGCGGAAATGGCAAAACTCTGCATTTAAGTCTATAATAAATAAAAAACTTTAGGAGAATAGGGCTGAACTAAGTAGCAAAACTAACTATCAACTTAACTACTTAAATAAAAAAAGGCCGAAAACTATTAGGTTTCCATTACAGAATAATTATTTAGTACAAATTACTAAGTTAATAACTTTTTTAAGTCAAATTGGAGATTATTTCTCACTTTGTGATCTATTAGAAAATGCATGTACTAATGTAACTACATACTTACTGTTAGGTATACCTATTGATACTAATTATAAAATTAAAATACCTTCTAACTGATCACAAATTTGCTTAATTTTGATTTATATTCCTTACAATTGCAAATAATACAAAGTAGGTAACAGAATTAATTACATCTGCATTGTGCAGAAGATATTAATTATTGCAACTGCAATTTAATAATGATAATAGTCAACAATAATAATAAAATTAAAACATTTTCCTGTGACAGCAAATCTAGGTTTCATAATAACAAATGGGACAGTTTTTTAATGCCCTGCTTTCCCAATATAGTTTCGCAATTAAGCCATAATTCACAATCACAGCAATTTGAGGCCTTCTACAAAGATTTTATCAAACAATTTCCAAAGAACCTAATTTTCTTCCATTGTTTTCTCCATGAAACCTGAGAAAGGCGGTCCATTCAATACTGTTTATTGATAAGTTTTTGCAATACAATGCATTCTATTGTAATTATTTATTAATCAATTAGTCTATGCATACAATTTATTTATCTACAACAATTTAGCACAACAGAATTAGATCGTATAAATGGTTTATCATCAATCGTTATTATTAAAAATGTGTACTGAAAAAATGAGAATACCTAAACACAATTAGATATTCATAAATACCATTTCAATACATGTTTGCAAGTTAATGTACTTTTTCTTATAAATAATAGGTACTGTGTTTTGTTGCTAACCAATTAATTTATTAATAATCGCATTAAGCTATTGTAGCATGCAAGTAAATAAAGCAATAAAGCAGGAAATAAATTAGAACTATAAGGCATGTAAATGATAAATTGTACTTTATAAAACATAAATTAATTAATGAAGTAGGTAACTAACAGTATGTTAATTAGAAAACGCTCATAAACGCCAAACATTTTTGGTTTTTTTCGTCTTCTATCTTTGTATTCGCTCTTTCGATACAGTAATGTTCGTGGGTTTAACAAAATTAACTTCTAAGACTGATAACGACAAAAACTATTTATTTACACTAATTATTAAAGAACTTAAAGACACTATTAAATTATTACTAAACTTAGGTAATGATTTATTCTATTTATTTACACTACTGTTGATACATCACTATTCACTGCGCTATTTATTTCACTACTATCACTATCAATTTATTTCTGGATTCACTTCTGCAACGGTCAATTTATTTCTTCCTATCTCGGCGATCGTCTCTTCCTTTAAATACTATTTTGTTTACTTTCTGGAACCTTCTGGAAACATCCGGATAGTTTATTTCTTCATTGAACTATTTATTTTATTTTCCCAGAACGCAGGTGCGACACACACATTTACAAATACGGCGCACATGAAGAAAGGCGCCCGCGGATAGTCGGCGAATCGATAAGCCCTTCACGGACACCTGTGCCCGATTGCACACAAACACACTCGTGCTCGCTACAATAGTTTTTTTTCAACTTGCATACCAGCATTTTTGTTTTACTTTTATTTATTTTCCAACAATACTGTTTTGTCAATACCGCTTCCATTTAATTAAGGCTATCTCTAACTCCTTTCTGGGTGCTAATACTACTACATCATCGGCAAATCTAAGCATACCAATCTTTTACCCCTGTCTATCTAACGCTAAATGTCCGAATTTCGCTATACTTCCATCAATAGATGATGCCTCCCTTTGATGTAATAGAATTCTCCATGATCGATTTATAAGGGTTTGTTTGTTGTTTGGTTTTGAGCATTCTTTTGTAACATTTCTTATGGTGTCTACAGATTTACAGAGTACGTTAAAAAAAGAGACTTCTGTTAAAAATTCATTAAGTATTTTTTCATTAACAATAATAATGTTGTAGATTCTGCAAGCATGTAAAAATAATTGTTACATATGGTATTAGAAATTTTAGATAGTGCAATCAATAGAAATATGTATACACATATATTTCGTCTGTTTCTGATAAGATAAAAAAAACAATTTCCATAATACGTATTATACGTAATTTGAACCGTTTGACTTGTTGCCCATACGAAATCGTACGTCATTATTTTTTGTCGTAGATTTGCAATTGTAATTGTAATTGTAATTAAGTGAAGCCAAGTTTGCGACGACAGTTTCAGTTTTCCAATTTTTTGTTTTCTAATAACTGAACAAAAACGTTTTTGTTTAGGCTTATTACAAAAAAAGTGCACGTTTTGGGCTCGTCACGTACAGCTAAATACAATTAAAGACTTCCGTCACATGAGTATATTAGTTTGTGTAAATAGCAATTCGTGTTCAAGTAGGTACCCAGTGGAAAATCAGGTTGTTGTATTGAGACATTTGAACGTGAAATGAACGTTTATAACAGTGGCAGTGAAAAACGAAACGGAATATCAAGTAACAATACCAACAGTGAAAATGGTAGAAGTGCAGTAATATTTGAAAATGGATCTGCAAAAGGGAATTTCACAGGATGGTGTAAGTTTCCAATACATATATGTATATTATAGTATTATGGTCCTACGTGTTCAAAAGAATATTACATTATAAAATACAATCTGTAAACTTTATCGAGGTTGTTGATGTCGCCGATGATCAATCGATTTGAAGTGGGCGACTGAAAATCTGTTTAAGCATCTTATCAGTCATATCGCAATTAGCTAATGGCTTTTTCTCTTTCAAACATAAAAGAAAATCCGTAAACATACTTCATTTTCTCATTTTAAGATGAACGTCGCTAGTAAGATCAAAGTAAGACTAAAAACACGGTCTTCGTGTCGGTCTTCTAGTATATTTAGTCTTGGTCATCACTACTCTTCAAGAAAAAAGTCGCAAAACACGAAATCGTTTTCTCTTTTGTTTTTAATCGACCAAATCGATCATTTTGGAGCACCCCATACATCTTGTACCTTCACTTTCGGTCATTTTAAACATAATAAATGCAAATAGACAAGTTATTCAACAAATGATCGATTTATGGTTAAATGAAGCCTTTAACGGCCGGCGTTTAGTTCATCAGTATTGTATTCCAGGCTGAAGTGGCGTGGTCAGTTTATAATATAATCCATAAGATAATCCAAACAGACTATACGACCTTTCAGCCGGAGTACAGTGTTGATGAAATAATCGAATTTGGATCTTTGTAGCATCCTGTAGATATATTGCTAATATCAGAAATAGCAATATGTCTACTGGATTTTATAAAGGAACTGCTGTTGCAAAAAAAAACAGGATTTATAGCTAAACCCAATTTATTCATATTAAGGTATCTACATAAAATTTTTATTGATCTAGTTCATTCTATTTTGTCATCATCCTAAGACTGCTTGGACATCCACCTCCACTCTTTCCTATCAGGAGCTAATCTTCGCATTTCCCTAAAACTAGAACAGCCCACATCCTTAACTATTTGCGAACAGTAATCTAATCTAGGTGTACCTCTTCCCCTCCTAACTCTCATTTCTGCCTCTAATATGACTAGACCTTCATGCCTGAGAAGGTGTCTACTAACCTATCTCGCCATTGATTTCCATAGAGTCCTCTGTTCTCCTATTATTTCTAATACCTCTTCATTTCTAACCTTTTCTATCCACGGTATCCTCAACATTCGCCTGTAACACCACATTTCGAACCTCTATTTTGTACTGTATTAAAATTAAGGTGAGAATTTTGTGACAATTTTGCTAAAAGTCTTGATATTGGTAGTGGTCTTATTCATTTAATCTAATTAAGTGTTGACCTTTATCCTGGTGTTGCTAAATGTAGAAGCCCAAAAGAAAACAAGACAAAAACACAAGACCGGGACTATTTTTGCACAATACAATCTGGAAAGTCCCTCTACATCACTCTCTCCTTGCTTCTTCGGCGTACGTTAAAACCAAAAATTTCACGTGAGACGGTTAAAATTTAAACACCCAAATACGTTTCGATATTAATTTAAATAATGTCTATTCATTATAGTACACAGTTTCGTTATAGAGGGCTCATACTGTTTTATTTTAAAATTTCTTATCATTACAAATTCTTTGTCGTTTTGGCCTTTTAACAAATCAGGCGACAGTGTGCCGAGCTTTAGGCGCCACAAAGGCTATAATTTTGCAAGGGTGAATGTGAATAGAATAAACAACCCATAATCAAGGGTTTAATGGCATTTACTTGTTATCCCATTGATCAAAAACCAAAGGGCGTTCAAAGGACTTTCAGTAACTTGTTTATTAAAAGACCAAATATTGTTTGTATTAAAATAAAACAAAAATTAAGTTTTTGATTTCTTTATTATAAAATATAAAAACTACATCTCTTCCTTGCTTCTAATAATAACAAAAATGTCAGATGCTTATAATCCACAATCTATCCATCCACAATACAACAATTGTTTCACACCACGGACTCCACCTCAAGGTACTGATTACAACGATGATGATGTTAATCATCACCCAATAAAGTCGAAATAATTGTTGTGTCCTGATTTTGGTCAGTACAATAAATTTTCTTGAAAACTTCGTTAATTTATGGATAAGTTAAAACAAGTAATAGACAATTCGCCTTCTGCTATGTTTTATATAACCATAAAATTAACAATTACCGGTTCACAGTAATAGTCAACTGACCATAAGAATAAGAAAAACTTGCGTCATAGAATTATTTACTTTACGGTATCATAACAACTCAATAATAATAATTCCCATCAAGTTATGGTTTCTTGTGTTCAAGATTCAATCGTCCACGACCGTGATTTTACCAACCAGTTTGATTGCTCACGAGACAGCCAGGTAGATTAGGAAGGTGAAGTTGTAACCGATCGAAAACGCTGTCGCCGATTCGTACAAAATAAATTGCGCGAATAAATACTAGAAATTCCAACTGGCCAACCATTTTCTAATAATCGAAAAAAAAAAAAAATTAAACCTGTTTGAAACTAGAAAGAATGTAATACCTATTCATACTTTGCAACCAATACCCAAGGAATTTTTGCAATCAGAAAAATAAACGTTACTGACCTGCTTAAACGCGTTGATGCTTTGTCGCGTTAACAATAAGAAAATTGAATTTATATATAAAAAAAAAAGAAACTGACTTTCTTGTTGTTGTCGCTATTGCTAATAATTCAAAAAATAGACAATTGAAGGCAGCGAGCATTTTTGTTTTTAATTGTTATTCTTTAAGATGTAGTACCAATGAATAGAAAGAGGAAAGAGATCATCGCTGTCCATTCACCTGTCTCAATGGCACGGTTATTAAGTTAGTCCGGCCTAAATTTCATTTACGGTGAAATGACAATGAATTTTATACTAACCAACAACTAAACCATTTCCACAAAAAAAACACAGTAAGAAATGAAACTTCTTTAGATTGTATATTATAGTAGTATTAAAAAAAATAGCTTAAACTATTGCATTAACTAATTACTAAACACCAGAAAAATAAATTTTATTTCGAGCGGGCGAATGCGAAATATAGGTTTAATTTTATTAAAAACTATTACGCTTGTACCATACAAAACAGCATAGAGGAATTACAAATCAAAACAGGTTAGCTTCTGTCGCTTGTTAAAATGACTCCTTTTAGACATATCCACCAGGTGTCATACGTGGCGCGTGACGTTGTGACGCGTGACGTTACATTTTTCAGTTTTATATCCTACTAAATTTCCTTCCTACCGTCGATAAAGAAGTTTCACTTCAAAAAGGTAGAGAAAAAGAGTATTGGAGTTAAAATATTTAGATAATCTTGTTTTCAAAAGGGAACATTTAACAAGTAACTTTATGGAGGTTTAGTAATAATTCTCACGGTAAAAACGGAATTTTTTGATAAATTGAAGAACTATCTTTTCAATCTTATGTCTTTATAGATATTTATAATCAAAAAAGTGATGAAAATTGAATTTTGACTCACATTCACTTTGTTGTAGTTGTAGTTCCAGTAGTTGTGGTTTGTAAATCATAATCAGTTCTTCAATCTAAAGAGTGGCTGGACACGCACGCGTCCACTTCTTTCTATATTGAACCAATTTTCTGAACAATACCGATCACTACTTTAATGATTTAATTAAATTAAATTCCAATAAAACGAAGGCGACCGAATCATTAATGCAAAATTCTCATAGATCACCAACTGAAATGTGAATCTCATTTGAAGAATGATTTTGAGTATCGTGTGTCACAAAATAAAAATGTTTCCAGTACTTCTGAGTACTCTGTTAACAAAATTCGTTACGATTATTAAATGTTTACAAAACTATGCTTTTGTTGGGGGTGTGACAGATGTAGATTGTGCAAAGGAAATTTAATTAACATTAATGAAGAGCATGCAGAATTAACAATGAAGAAATTAAATTACTACAGTAGAACAAGTAGTCTTCGGGTTACGTATTTCACAGTATTGTTTTGTCGTAATAACTTCTACGTAGGTATCTATTTAAATTGAGCATTTAGATACTGAGATTATGCTTTTTTAATGGCTCTTTTCCCCTTTTGTTTATATTTTAATAGCTCAATTCTCCTTTTACATTAATGATGAGTAAAATAGACCCTGATGGTCAATGACAATACCCAGATTTACCTGTAAGGCTTACATAAGAACAAAATAAAGGAACTACAGATTTCATCATCGTAAGGTTTTCAGTTCTAATGAAAAATTGGATCTAACGTTACTAAATATTTAAGCAGAAATTGATGATTTTGATATTGATGATAGCATGCGTTTTGCATCAGTATATGTATTTTAAAATTAGAATAAAAAATAAATTTATAATGTTTAAATAGCTCAAACATATTTGAAAAGTGTAATTTGAGCTGCTAATTTATTGTCATTAAGTTTTCTACACATTGCTAATTACAAAAGTTTATTGTCCATTAGTATGTAGTACAATAAAAGGACTTTTTGTTATTAATTAATTACTTATTCATTCCTTTCTGCATTCATTTATGCCTTAATTACCCTTAATTCTTCAAGGTTAATTTGTTGAAATCGTTTAATAAACTATGTAATTGCTATATATATGCACATACGATTGTTAAATAACTTGTTTTTAATTAGCAGACGTGAAGTCGTTTATAAAGTAACTTTTGGTGAACTTTTGAAATTTTTTTTGCAGTTTTAAATTAAATACGTATACGAATTGGAAGATAATACAATAAAATGAAACAAAATCTTCATTATGATAAAACATTTTCATGAGTTGTAGATTTCAGATTAGTACAGTATAACTAAAATCCAAAGGAACGTTAAAACAATTTTTTAACAAAAAAAAAGTCTGAGTTTTTAACAAAAATAAGCGTTAAGTTTGAGAGGTTTTAACAGTCCATACTTTACTTAGGGAGGTTTCATTTGTCTGTTACAATTACATAGTAAAAATATTAGTAGTAGGATAGGTATATATAGGTATAGGAAAAGATAAAAACAAAACTTCAAATACTAGATGTTCTTAAGGGTCGAGATGGGCAATAGTTCAGTGGTCAATTGCGTCGATTATGAACTGTATGGACTGGAGCTCGATTCCCAGTTAGGATACAAAAATTTATCGAGAAACAATGGCAAGCCATCTACACCTGTATATACCCAGGTACTAGTAAGAATAACTTCTCTGTAGATGGATCACAAGTACATTACTTCAAGAAGAAGAAGTTACTAACGTCAAAGCCCCAACTGCTTTGAATTGTACATCAGTTAGTTTAGAGTAGCTTCCTGAGGTTTTGGATCTCAGGGGATAGGAACAATAACCTTTCTAAGATTATAGAAGTTTTTCGTTGTCGAAACTTGATTTATTCAGGCTTTACTGGATAATTATCAAAGCTACAGTAAAAGGTAATACGAAGTAGCGCTCTCTTATTGAACTAATAAATTATAAGTAAATAGAACGTTCACGTTTAATCCTTTTGCACACATGCAAGACTGTTATCAAACAACATTTTAATTGTCGTATAAGGCTTCTCTGACAATAAAGTTAGGCAAGCATGGAAGACGTACCTAAACCCATAAAAATAACACTAATCATTTCACTGTTTGCACGCGGTCTCACTAAATAATTACACCATGATGACCTTCCTCTCTGTTTTCCTATGAGTATCTATTACTATTACGTAACCACTTTCGTCTAAAAGTAATTTTACTTCTTGTAAAAAAATGTTGCATTCGTCATCTCAAAAAGAGTATTAGATAGTACCATCTAGCAAAGAAACTTGAAGGGCTAGAGACAAATTGGAATTAAGAATAGGAGTAAAGAGACCTAGAAGACCAACGATTAAATGACCTTGTGATGATATACATATCTAATTAATTTATAACTATAGTGTCTATACCTTTTACATTTTATAATTTAATTGACTGTGATAAATACCAGTCATTAGGTAAAATATCAATGAAACTTTTATCAGTTAAATTGGCGTGAACGTAAATAATGTATGCATGGTGGGTGCATTTGTTCTATTTATTGATGCTATGGTCACTCTTTTGTGCAAGAAACCTTGATGTATTAGGTACGCGACACTATTGAACCTTTCTGTTATGTTGAACGACTAGAAAATACAATGAAAACATTAAATAATCATTAAGCAAAATAAAGGAAATTGTTTTGCAGTTTTGCGTACAATGAGCTATTAATATGCAATAAAATATATTTGTGTAATTGCATATTTGACGAAATCTGGTTTACGAAATGAAAAATTTATATTCGGTTTTATGAATTTGCTAATAATTTTTTATTGGTCTCCTTTTTTTAATTAAATGTCTATTCCATTTCCTTAGAAGTGCGAAGTGATCCTTACGTAGGACTTTAGACTTTCCCCTTTCACATAGTTTATGGAAAGCGATTGAATACTTACTTCAAACGCTTGCGCTGTTAGAAAGCATAATAATTGGTTTGTGTAATACCCAATAATACCCACCATAAATTTGGTTTCACTATCTTAATGGTACAAAATTATCTCCGTATGTACCAACAAATTTTACCGTACAACAAAACGAACGATTATTCACAGGGTGTTTTATAACGTTTTAGAAAGCATGTGATTTATAATTAAGATTAAATGGACATTATAGACAATCTGAATTGATGAGAGGGTTTTTATAACATTCAGTTTGGTTGTTTTGGATAGTACAATAGATATTTATATATCGAATGGGGTTTGTCGGAAAAGAGACAACTTTTTCTGCTATTCTGGCTAAATAAAAACAATGAATTATACCAAAACAAAACACATTTAAAACCATATACATGATTCCGTTTGACAAGCTGGGAATTATATGGTGTGGTAATCTTATATCTCCCGTCCATGAAGAAGGTTTTCGTTTTTACCAGAAAGGCGTGCTTTTGAACATATAAGGGCTGAAGTTTCGCCCTCTAGAAATTTCTAGAACATTCGAGAGCATTCCACAACATTTCAGAACATTATGGAATGTTTGGGAATAGTCTGGAATGTCCCAGATCATTGTGGAATGTTCTAGAACACACCTGAACGTTTTAAAACATTGTCGACCATTCGAAGCCTTTTTTGTATGGGTAGGATACCTATGTACCTTTATCCTTTTGTTCCAACTATCATATCAACTCTCTAAGCGAAGCCGGGGACCCCAGCTATTATTAGTATAAAATGACCAACAAAGTTGAAGCTTCTAGATAAAATAAAATTGTTGTTTCCAATACTATTCCATCGTTATCATTTCCAGTGTATTTTTTTATTTACGAATTTTTTGGATCCAATAGTTTTAAGGTTTTGGACAAAAAGTAAATCACCTGTCAGTACAAAAATATCAGTTGGAGTACTGTGGAACTTAATTAGATAAATAAACACCAAAATCCCATTAGAAGCTTAAAAACCATTTTGGGTGTTATTGTTTATTATTAAAAATAAACCCCACTCTTTGGGGCCTTGTGTTCTTTCAATGTCAGATTTTGTTTAGCTAAAAGTACTTATAACTGTTTCCAGTTTAACATTTTCATGAATCCAAAAAAAGTATATCACATGTATCTATGGTTATTTGCACAAAATCGAAAAATTTTCCCGTTAATCTAAATAAATGTTTTAAATCGCCTTGACATTTTGCATTGAACCAAATGCTCAGCAAGAGAGAAAAACAATTGTGACAGAAATACGTGATATCATGTTCTCTTTATATATCGTAACGACACACTGCACTGCTTTTATATTTTGATGGCATTGATATGTCAACCGTGTAACAAAAATTAATACGTTAAACCTACTGCTGGATGGATCTGATAACATACCTACCTAATATTTAGGCGATTGTTAATCCAACTTAATTTTTAAATGACAATTTACACAACAATCCACTACTTCGTCAGACAATTCCTCGTTTTAAATTAATAGAGATAATAATTAATGATCATGTAGTCTGTTTTGCAACAGTGATTTGTTCATTAATTATTTGAACATAAAACTACAATTTCATATATAAAGAAAAGACATCATAAAAGAGTCAAGAATATGATAGAAAAAGGCCTCTGAATATTATTAATTTAAAGCGCAAAGATATTCTTTTACTTTTTCGGATTTAAAGTAATAATCACCGATTCCCTCATAATATTTTTATGTTCATGGTTTTTACAATTTGGTAAGAAATTTCAAAAGAACAATCAATTTTCGTACTCTTATAAACAATATAAAAAATCAACAAATATGCTTTATACCATTTTCTGTAAACGTTCTTACATAAATTTGTAAATATATATATATATATGTGTGTAAGGAAAATTAATTTGTATGTACCGAGCACGTAGATAAATATTTACTGAAATTTGAAAAACCCAAGGCTGCAAAACTAAAACGCATTTTATTTAATACTACCTATTAAACAACCAGCTAAGTAGCTGGTAAATAAAAGAGATGGTAAAGATTACTATTTTTAGATAGTTTATCTAAGCTGTTCTGTTTTGACTTTTTGTTTGCAAAGTACTATAATGAAAAATTGTTTTTTTCTATTATCAAATCCAATAATTTAATCAATATTAAACAGTTCAGTCAGTTTTTGTGAAGGAAGAATAATTTATTGTTTTTAATTATTAGGGTTCACAAGATGTAAGTATTTCACAATGAGTTATTACATGCATTAAGTAACGAAATAACGTGGACACTGTTTTTGTGTTTAAAATTCTTGTTGGTACAAAGTCACTCTACTCAGAAAGAAAGCCGAATTTGTCATCATGACAAAATATCATATAAAACACAAAACAGTTCTACTTGTCCACTGACCCCTTACGTAGTAATATAAGCCTCTTATACAATAGGCTTGATCTCTGTGATAAATTCTAAGGCTTTACACATTGCTGACATTTATAGAACGAGACTCTTTCGATCTTATCCTAAGCTCTTCTTCTAAAACTGAATTAAAATGTGAAGCGGTACTACTTTGCATATCAAAGAAGTGTTACTTCCTTCTTAATAAATGTGTCATGTCACATGGAGAAATGCCGATGTAAGATTAGATCAAGGGTCTTCAAAAATATAGGAGATCAAGTCAAAATAATTACGAATTCTCCAGTTTTCCGGGCCTCTTTATAACAAAGCCACTATTCTGATGTACAAAAGTAAAACGTTAACTTTAAAGTCTCTATGAGCTTTGTCAAAGAATTTCTCTTTTGTTACAGATGAAATGCTCGAAAATGAAAACCATGAAGCTCTGGGAAGGCTTCATGATCTTGAACGAAAAGTTCTGGAACAAAGGGACGAATTAATCTGCTTGAAAGCCACCCTAGCCGAGGCTTTAAGAAGGATTTCAATTCTCGAAGGCTGTCGACTTCCTCATCAGGTGCAGCAGGTGGCTAGCACACCCCCAACAACACCCGTCAGAAATGGCATTGTGAAAGAACAGCTGCGCTTGAGACAAACGGGCATTTCTAGTACAAAGTAAGTCAGAATTACTCTGTTTAGATTTACATTTTAAAAACAAATAGGGACAATATCAAAAATTAAAAAGAACCCACTAGAACATTTGCTACAATTTTATTAGTACAACTTCCAATAAAAATTATCCTTAGTTTCAATAAGGAACAATATACTTTCATAGCAGTTTGTTGACAATTTTTTTGAAGATGTTCCCAAAACAATTTTTAATTCAGTTAAGATATTAGAACTGCCTCAATCAGTTTCTGTCATTGTGAAGGATTTATCATATTTGAACACACTAAATAGTCCAAACCTCCACGATACTGAACGTTCGAAGTCTATCAGTTCAGTGCATTTCACAAACAGTAGCAAAACAAATTAAGATTGTTACCGAAATGTACTTTGATTGTCTACTATCTCATTTTTTGACATGGGGATTGGAGCTATTTAGTGTGCTCTATATTATCTACGAAGTGGTGTGAAAGGAAGGGAAATTTGAAGATTAGCTCAGGATAAGAAAGAGTGTTGGTACAGTTTAAAGATAAACTTCCAGTAAAAATTATCCTTAGTTTCAATAAAGGACAACATATTTTTAGAGCAGCTTTTTGACAATGTTTTTGAAGGTGTTTCCAAACCAATTTTTAATTCAGTGAGGGTATTAGAACTGCCTCAATCAGTTTCTGTCATTGTAAAGGATTGATTATTATATTTGAACACACGAAATAGTTCAAACCTCCACAATATCTAACGTTCGAAGTCCATCAACTGATGCAATAAATGCAAATGCAATGTTTAGTGCATTTTACAAAACAGTAGCAAAACAAATTAAGATTGTTACCGAAATGTACTTTGATTGTCTACTATCTCATTTTTTGACATGGGGATTGGAGCTATTTAGTGTGCTCTATATTATCTACGAAGTGGTGTGAAAGGAAGGGAAATGTAAAGATTAGCTCAAGATAGGAAAGAGTGGAGGTACGTGTCCAACCAGTCTTAGGACTGACGACCCTATGAATTTGATGAATATTTATTATAGCACAGTCTTCTTCTTTTTCAGAAAAAAGATCGAAGCAAGAGAACTGAACAGCAAAAGTTACGGTTCTTCTTTACCCCAGCGACGCGCGGCCCGATACCAGTCGACTGGATCTCTTCACAGTGATAGTCATAGCTCTAGTAGTATTTCTCCAGTGCCTCCTCCGTCTCCCAGGGCAACGCCACTGCCTCTCAATGTGCGACAACAACACCAGCAACAACAACAACAACAGCGACCTCCAATTGTACATAATTCGCATCCTCCACTATCGCCTTCCAGTGGCGGGTTACACAAGCGATGGAGTTCTACGGGAGACTTTAACAATTCCAGTGCCTTGAGTCCACAGTCCAAGTAAGAGCACTTTAATTTACAGTCTGTGATAAATAATAGGAACAAATACAAAATGATTTTATAAATGAGTGAACAAACAGAGGGATTTCAATGAACCTTTGGAAATAAAGATTTAAAGAGATATTTATCTGATAATAGATAAAGAAAAAAAAGATAAGATAAAACGAAATAGAATTATAAATATTAATAGGTAGATAATCCTTTGTGCGTGTGTGTGTGTGTGTATCTTCCTATTTTTCTCATTATTTCTGTCAACCTCTCTTCATTGTTCGCCATCAATACTATATCATCCGCGTAAGACAATGTCCATGCTTTCTTCTTTCCCATATTGTATTCCTTACCTTGACATTTATTCTTTTTTCTTTTATTGTACTCCATATTTTCTTTCTGTTTATCCTGTCCCTTCATATAAGCAAAGAATAGGAAGATTTCTCCTTTTTCTTTCTTTATTTCTTCCTCAATGGCCTTCTTTAATATGTATATTGCATCCATGTCCGTCTCCGTTTTTGTATATTGGTGCCACTATGCCCGTCCTCCATTCTTATGGTAATTTTGCGCTTCCTTTCCATATGTCATTTATTATCCCATGTAGATCCTCTATAACCTCATCCTCTCCGTAAATCCATGCTTCATTTGGTATTTTATCTTCTCCTGCTGCTTTCTTTTTTTTTTAATCTTTTTAATTACTTTCTTAATTTCTTCTCTACTTATTTCGTCTTCTTCTTCCTCTTGTTTTTTTTTTTCAGTTTTCGTATTTCCAATGCGTCTGTTTCGTTCATTTGAATCTTAAAGTGCTCCACCCATTCTGAAATTTTTATTTTTTCACTTATTTTCTCTCTTCTACACCCTTGATTGTTTATTTTATCTTTTCTAGCCTCCGACCACTTTCTTGTTTCTTCTTTCTTGCAATTAACAGTTATTAACTTTTTTCTCACCATGTAGAATTTGTAGAAGTATTTTATGTTACCTTCCTCTGTTGTTGTACTTCTCATTATTTCTTTTAGCTCTTGCTTCATTTGATGGCACTCTTTGTCCCACCAGTTTTGTTTTTTTGGGGTCATCGTTTGACTAATTTAATTTTAATTGATTATGAGTATTAATATATTACCTAAACAATCAGTTTAGGGCACATATTTTTACATTTTGAATTATTGATTTTTTGTTTTCTGTTTCTTTAGTTATTTGTATTTATTTTCCATTTCTAGGTTTTCAACAAAATCATTTTTGAATCTGTTTCCAAAACTGAATGGAAATTCAGTATCAAATTTAAAGCACGGGTATGTTTATTTTATTTTATTTTATTTTTTATTTATTATTTGAGTTGTGTATTCATTATCACCTTTTGTATAAACTATAGGAAGTTGTGTTTCCGGTAGTTGCAAGTATTTGTGCCATAAATCAGATTAAAGTTTCATTAAAAAAGAGTGCGGGACGATCGGTCACACGGTTTACGAAAGCCAAAATATTGATCAGAACCGTATTTAAAATGAGAAACACTGAGTTATTTTGAACTTCACCAAAACAATAAGTTATCGACCAGGGCAGTATGAAGCAGGATTAATAAAATTTATTGAATTCTGAATGCGATCTTAAAAATTTTTACTAATAAGCGTGTTCTAGGGCCATAACCTTTGGATTGACCAATAAGGTATGATTTTGTTTCTAAAACAACTTGTTTTCTTTCTCATTTTTAACTTTAATGCATTGCACCTTTCTTATAGTAAGTACAATTAAGAATGGATTGAAATAATTATTGTTCCGTAAAATTAAAGGACAATTGAACGTAATCGACTGTTTTACAATTGTTAATTTTTATTGTAAAAATAATTATTGCGTTATAATTGCTTGCAATATTAATGAAACAAATTAGGTCAATCTCTTTTTGTTATTGTTATTTTTGTTCTAAATTAAAAGAACAATGTCATGAAGGTTTCTATTTCTTATACTTGATTTTAGTTTAGTAATTTTCGACAAGGAACCAACTTTTCTAAATGTGAATTTAGTCATTTCAAAATAAAACAGTATAAAAGTTTCACTGCAGTTTAAAGTTTTTTTTTACCAAGATTTTATAGTTGGAAATAAAAATATTTTTGAGAAAATCATACTATGAAATGCGAAATAAAAAAACTAAACATAAAACACGGAACCTTTTTGTATAAATTTATTTATTTGATTTATATTTATATTAAGGGAAAATAATCGTTTGAGTAATGGGGAAGAAATCAACGATAATTTGGCAATCTCAGTAATTTGATTGCTTTGGGTGTGTTGTTACAGCATTGCGGACATTGTAATCGATTCTGGCTTACGCTTTATCTTCTATAATTGATTAAAAAAGAAAAGCGCTTTATCCAAGATATTATCTTTATACCTCATTTATGTGGATTTAGATACTGAATAAAATAAAATAATATGTATATCTAAATCAGTTAAAAATTTTAGGATTCTGAAGGAAGTCTCCCCTACCACTGTACCATAAAAGTTCGTGGCGGTCTCATCCCCATAAAAAGTTATGGGGGTGGGGGTAGAGGGGATCGAAAGAGGGTGGTCACCTGAGTAAAACCCCATAAAAAATTTGGGGCGATCTCACCCCCATAAAAAGTTATGGGGGTTGAAAGTTGATTATTTTGACAATTTTCATACACTATAATTCAAATAAAATTCAATAAAAAAAAATATTTTCAAGCGGGTGGAGGTGGGGGATCGAAAGAGGATGGTCACTTGAACAAAACCCGATAACCTAACCTAACCTAAATTAACCTACCCTATTGATAAACATATTTAAATAATGTTTTATATAACTTTCTCAATATTTTTATGTATTTTTCATTAGTTTTACTTTTGAATATTGTTTAAGAATGACTATATAAATATTTACATGCCTAGAAATGTATAAAAATTGGCATATTTATTAACTTTGACCCCCATAACTTTTCATGGGGGTGAGACCGCCACGAACTTTTTATGGTACAGCAGTGGGGGAGACCTTCTCTTTCGATCTCCTCCATCCTCACCCCCTGGGGGGGTGAGGCCATCATCTTGACCTTTACCAAAGAAATTTATACTATAAGGCACAAAAATATATTTATTGAAATGAAAGTTTCACTTGTTGAATTAAAAGTTTTACCTTTCATAATTGTATTTCCGCAACAATTTTATGTTTCGTGCACGTTATCTCTACTGTTCAACACTGAATAAAATTTATGACGAACAACCCACAGTCACGATATGAAGGCTGGGAGTATTTTTATCTCTGCAAACAAACGCCAAATGATAACAGCAAATTGTATTCAAACACCTAACAGACAGTAACATTAATACTCATATAATTATTCAAAACAGTATGATATTAAAAAAAGATATAAAAAAGTAGTTAGTTATCAATTCTATGGTGCTTTATCAAAAGAAAGGGTAAATCTCATAGTCCCAAAAATTGATAGATTTTAAACCGTTTTAGTTGTTGTTTAGCTTGTTTTATGTGGGCACTGACCAATAAACATAATAAAATATGCCAATCATTGAGTGAATGCATTGCAAAGGTAGAAAGATGAATCTGAATGACTGGCAGCACGTCATAATTCTCATTTTGGACTTGGTTTAATTAGTATGCCAACCGTTCTGTGCATGTTGGGATTTTGGTAAAGCTGCCATACTTTACCGTATTTATATCGACCTCTAATTTTAATACGTCATCATTAGTTCGCAAATGACCCTCCTATATCTCCGAACAATAGTTGAAGGTTTGTACTGGTGCTGGACAATTTGTTCCATACATGACTCTCTGACAATGCTTTAATTCGTAAATAACCAGAGCGTTCATTTTTTTTTTTTTCGTATTGTTACAAAGTGAGAATTGTGTGTTTTTTATTTAACGTTGGATTGTTGTACCTACGTTTTGTGCAAAGTATGAAGAACCAAAGAAGGAAGAAAAGTTCAACTGCAAGCATGTAAGTCACACAATTTAATTAAAAATAAAATTTGAGTCCACGGTAACAATAAATTCATGAGTAAATGGGTTTCCGTACCAAATAATGGCACAAACGGTACCCCATAAAGTAATCTTACTATAGTTCTTTGTATTCTTGAAATTTGATATTTGTTTATATGGTCACACTTAATCCAATGATGTACAGTTACTATTTCGTTCTTGGAAGTTAATAAAGAGAAGAATTTTTATTATGGATGAAATACAAAAAGAAAAATAATAATATGCGGATTTATTTGCCAACCTATTATCTAATTAGTTATCGGTCATTAACCACATTAATAAATAATTTTACTGCTAAATTGATGAATTTCTATTCAGTTAGATGCACCGATTGAGGAAGTAAATTATTTATTTAATAGCATTTAATGAGAGACAGAAAATATAAATAAACAATAAGACAAAATATATACATTAACATTTTTGAGAGAACTGTTAGTTAATTATACAGTTAGGAAGAACCGACATTGTCAAATTCACTTCCACATTAAGCTGGTCAAGTTTTGCAGAAGGTATATTCACTCTGACAACAGTCTTCCTCGTCCAAAAATTTATTGTTAGGTATATAAATATATAATTTTATCCTTCATAATCAAACCGATCGGCATGGGTTAGAGGTTTATACCATTGCTTAGCATTCGGGTGGACGCCGGTTTGATTCCGGGTCCGTCTGCCTTGGTCCAAGTTTTTCTGTGGTTTCCTTGGATCACTTAGGCAAATGCTGGGGGAGTAATATTCCACAGATAATCTTTCACTCTCTTCTGTCTCCATTTCGTCCGTCTCATCTTTCTCACCCGAACCACCACCCACCCATTCCCACGATTCCTGAAAGCAGGCTGAAGAGGGCCTTCCGCCCTACCTTCCGGC